GGGGGGGGGGGGGAGGAAAAAGGTGAGAGACCTAACTGTGGGCACTTACTACAGGTTACTGAACCAAGGGGAGGAGCTGGATCTGGAGTTCTTTTGAGAATGGACAGAGGCCACGCGTGCAACGGACTTGGTAGTCACGGGTGACTTCAATTACCCGTACATAGACGTGGAGGAACACTTGGCTAGGTCAGACAGTTCACGCAGTTTCCTGACTGATCGAGGAGCTATTTCTGACCCAGGAGGTACAAGGGCCAACTAGAGGTAACGCTCTCCTGGACCTGGTCTTGGCCAAGGAAGATGATCTGTTGTGTGGCTTGAATATTGAGGGTAACCTGTGCGACAGTGACCATGAAATTATCAGGTTCACCGTCCACCGCAAAGTTGACAAATCAACCAGCAGGATTGAAGTCCTGGACTTCAAAAATGCCGACTTCGACTGGCTCAAAGCATTAGTAGGGGAGGCGATGAGGGACCAGGAAGGGAAGACAAATGGGGTACATGAAGAGTGGTCATTGCTCAAGGACATGATCCTCAAAGCACAAAAGAACACCATTCCTGCAAAGAGGAAAGGTAGCAGGAGGCTGGCAAACCCTCCTGGCTTAATAGGGACATTGCAGTCCTCTTTTTTTTAAAAGGTATACACACAGTGGAAGCAAGGGACAGTCCTAAAGGAAGACTATACTTTAGTGGCCAGCACTTGAGGGAAATGATCAGGAATGCCAAGGTGGCAGCTGAGTTTAGGTTAGTCGTGGGAGTCGAGGACAATAAGTCCTTCCTTCAGTAGGTATGCAGTAGAAGGAAAACAAATGGAAGCGTGGGACCCCTGCTTAACACCTCGGGACACCTGGTAACCGATGTACGGGGAAAAAACTGAACTCTTGAATGCCTACTTTGCTTCCCTATTCCACCAGACTATAGGGAATGTCAAGCGAGATAAGGATCATAGGGGGCATGCTGGGACTGACCACCTACCCCACTGTAGATGCTGAGCAGGTACAATACCAACTAGAAAAGCTAGACATTTATAAGTCAGCAGGACCAGATGGACTTCATCTGAGAGTGCTGAAGGAGCTGGTTGAGGCCACTGCAGAACCTCTGGCAAAGCTCTTTCAGAATCTGAGGTGCACAGGGGAGATCCCTGAGGATTGGAAGAGGGCCAACATTGTGCCCATCTTTAAGAAGGGGAAGAGGGAGGACCTGGGCAACTATAGACCAATCAGCCTAACCTCTATCCCAGGGAAAATCCTGGAAAAGCTCATTAAAGAATCCGTGTGTGATATGCTTACAGAAGGTAAGATTCTGAATGACAGCCAGCACAGCTTTGTCATGGGTTGGTCTTGTCTTACCAATCTCATCTCCTTCTATGACCAGGTCTCTCACCACCTGGACAAGGGAGACAAGGTAGATGTTATATACCTAGACTTCCAAAAGGCTTTTGATCTAGTATTCCATGGTATCCTTGTCGGAAAACTGGAAGATTGTGGGCTCAGCTGCTCCACAGTTCAGTGGGTGGGAAGCTGGCTACAGGGTAGGACCCAGAGAGTTCTTATGAACAGATATGTCATCTTGGCGCGAAGTGGCCAGTGGTGTCCCTCAAGGGTCTGTGCTTGGACCATTGCTTTTCAACATCTTTATCAATGATTTGGATAGGGGAGTGAAAAGTTTGCTGTCTAGGTTCACAAATGACACCAAGTTATGGTGTGGTTATGGATTGGTTACTGATACAAGTGGACCTGGACAAGTTAGAGTTGGGCAGACCAGATGAAGTTTAACACTTCCAAGTGTAAGGTGCTCCATCTGGGGACAACATACATACAGGTTCGGAGGTGACAGCTTAATCTGCACCATGGCTGAAAGGGACCTAAAAGTAATGACTGAACACCATCAGTGCAATGCACTGGTGAGACCGCAGTTGGAGTACTGCGTCCAGTTCTGGGTGCCGCACTTCAATAAGGACGTGGGAAAACTTGAGAGGGTCCAGAGAAGAGCCACCCATATGATCAGGGACTTGCAAGGCAAGCCATACAAGCAAAGGCTGAGGGACCTGGGCCTCTTTAGCCTAAAGAAGAGAAGGCTGAGAGGGGACATGGTAGCAGCTTACCGCTATATCAGAGGAGTGCATCAGGAGCTCAGTGAACAACTGTTCACTAGGGCACCCCTGGGGAAGACCAGGACCAATGGCTATAAACTCCTGGAAGGCCACTTCAGGCTTAATACCAGGAAAAACTCCTTCACCGTCGGAGTGTCCAGACTGTGGAATTAAACTCCCTCCAGAGGTGGTACAGTCACCTGCCCTGGAGGTTTTCAAGAGGAGACTGGACAGTCACCGCACTGAGGTCACTTGACCCCAGTTGTCCTCCTGTCTAGAGCGGGGTGGGGCTGGACCCGATTATCTGCAATGTCCCTTCCAGCCCCTAACAATCTATGAATCCGGTGGCTCACACTGATGTCAACAAGGACTTATTAAAAGGATCCTTGATTTTTATGCTGAAATTCCTATTTTAGACCCATATTATGATAAAACACTCAATTTTTAGTTTTTGAAATCTGTTAAGAAACTGGGTAATTTTTTTTTAAGAAAGAGGAAAAACATGAAATTTAACAATGAAAACAATTTTATTACCATGTATATTTACACAAGTGTAACTGTAAATGAATCACACTGATGGACTTGTTACCAACTGTACCACCACGTAACTCAGGTCCAGTCAGATTTAGCGTTTTTTCCACGTAAACTTCTTTCGGGCTCCCTCTTGACCTGGCTTCTTTCGTTCCTTCAAACGGGGATCACTTGTGAGTAGTCCAGCTAGAAAGCAAGATGAAGATGGTCGCTTTAATATATATTAACTTTCACTTAATCTGTGTGCATGTATACAGGAATATGTGCATAAGTAGTATATTTCAAACAACAGGTGACTTTGCATACCACATGAAACTATAACATCTAGATCAGAAGAAAGTGCAGCTTGAATTGAATATGTAGTAACAATTTAATCAGACCCTGTAGCATCTTAATGGTGTGACAATATCTGTATTTGTATTTTGTACGTTTTACTTAACTATCATGATTCTTTTTATAAGGTTTGTTATTTTAATTACACCTTGTTTAAATGTATGTAATTTTAATCAATTCAAAATCATGTTCAGCAAAAGCCAAAACTTGAGGAGTATAATGCAAAATTTACTTTAGGAAGTGTTTTTCAACACTTTTTCCTAGAGGTAAACAGATACACCTTTCCTATATTGGACTGGCACCAATATAAGGAAAACTGACAGTATTGGCAATCTGCTTTTTTGGGCTGATGTGGTTGATAATGTCACCGATAAATGCCCTGTGCACGTGTGCAGCCACAGGGCAGTATGCAGGCAGCAAGAAGCACAACCTGGCAGCATTGGGCTTGTAAGTCAGTTGTAGGGGAAGGGATGGGGGAAAGAGAAGGGTGGGGGTGGCAGATTGAGGTCCCTGTGATGAGGGAGTGGGGCTGGGGCAGGCACTGCCCAGCTGGGATGGAGCTGCAAGAGGATCATCCATGGGGTGCGGGGAGGGGTGGCTCCTGCTGCTGCATGCACCCTGGGAGGGCACTGGGGGTGTATGCCCCAATCTGTGCGTGGGCAAGGAAAGGCTGCTGCTGCAGGCTGGGGCCAGGGCTCCGCTGGGCTCTTCCCAGCAGGGGGGCCGGGCCAGGCTGAACACAGGGTGGGAGCTATGGAGAATTTTGGGGTGGCTGCAGCCCTGGCCCAGCCCCCTGCCGGGAAGAGCCCAAAGTCAGCCCCAGCCTGCAGTGGCAACCCAACCCCCCCATGCACAGATCAGAGGGCACACCCTGCCCCCCACCATGCCCTCCCACACTGTGTGCAGTGGTGGGAGCCACCCCTCATGCCCCTCTGGACAAGCCACTTGTGGCTCCATCCCATGCCCTGCCCCAGCCCCACTCCCTCCCTCACCATGGGGGCCTCAATCTGCGCCCCTCCCCCCAGACTTACCAGCTGGACACTGGCCAGGCTGCATATTGGCAACCGGAGTAGTATTGGCCGATATGGCTCCTTAATAATCAGCCATTGGTATCAGCCCAAAAAATCTCTATTGGTGCACCCCTACTTTTTTTCTTACTCTTTCATTTGATTCCAGTGAAATGTCAATAGATAGGATGCTTACAATCCATTGTAAGCAATGCTTGTCAATATAGAAAAAATATAATTAGGAATATTTTGGGGGAACATAAACCCACATAAATAGGTTTAACTCCACTGAAATACACTGGTGTTCAACCTGTAGCCCACAGGTCAAGAACAGTTGCAGGGTCTACTCAAAAAACAGAATCTAGTTATGACATTTGAAATGATAAAAAAATAAGAAAAATTTTAAAACTATATACAACTGAAGCCTGAGTCCTGCATATACTTGTGCATGTGATTTCATGAAAAGCCAGGTATTTCAAACAAGTGAGGCTTGTAATTCCTTTTAATCTCCAACAGTTGAAAACTTTACCAGTAACTATTACACACATACTACTGACAGCACAATGCCTTCCTTCTTACTTAATATCATACCTTGTCTCATACATTCCACTTCATTTTTAGTAGAAAAACTAGTTAAGGCTCTTGCAATAGCTAAACGTATTGCTCCAGCCTGTGAGGACCTCCCTCCACCAGAGACCGTACAGACCATATCAAGTTTTCCAAGTCTATCAAGGAACTGGACTGGGAACATTAATTGCTCTCTGGAACAAACAAAGAAACAAACAAAAGTACTACAGTATGTACATTTCCTTTAAAAAATTATAAATTTTAAATATTATAAAATCTGCCTTCCATGCCCCTTCCCCTAATACCCGAGGCATATATGCCCAGATCCATAAATCTTCCCAGTCATTTCAAAGCTAAGTCAGACACAAAAATGGAATTAAGGGCTTAATTATCTTTTGTGTTCTGGACCTTAATGACCAGATATATGTAGCCCAAAGCAATTCAAGCCTCCCCACATTCCTCTGCCAATACAACATTTAACCCAATCTGAAATAACTATTAAGCAATTAGCTTCTTGGCCATACAAGGTATTTGTACTATACAGCAAGCAAATGGAATAAACTAAATGCATGTTGGCTTGATTTAAGAAACAATTATCTTCAGAAATCCTGAGAATTATTTGAAATGGTATAATACAGCGTATAGCCTGAAATTTCAGATAAAGCATCTTGCATTGTTGATGCTATACTCAAGTATAGTGGAGTAAGAGTGTATGACCACTATCACTACACCTCATAAAGCAGGTGTATTTCAGTGAGAGCCTAGTAAATGCAAATGCTTCTCTGTGATGGGAAGATCCCCCAACTATGCTACCCTAACAGTCTGTCATTTTGTACTTTGCATCTCTCCTAGAAAGATAAAAACAAACGACAAACAAGGAGATAAGCTTTGCTGTCACAGTTCTTAATCTCTAGCTTTCATGGTTGTGTGGAAAAAAGCAAAAAAGGCAAGTCTTCAAAAACCAGATAACTATGGAAACAAAAGACATTAATAGCTAAGGATACATGCCAACATGCGAGAAAGAAGTTAATTTAAAAAGAATGTATTCTTTGTATACTGGAAATGCACTACTGAAGACAGAGTCCCTTCCAATTTCCATTTATGATGTTAACAATAAGCAGAGACCACAGTGTCCTCACCTGTCCTGAAGAATAGGAAAGTAATGTATATAATGTAACCCATTCACTGTAATCTTTCCACTCCCATTGTCATAAACTATTACAGATGCTCTTGCAGTCTTCCTTTTACCTTAGAACAAAGAAAAACACATTATAAAGGTTTCATTACTTTTGCATTTGACATATTGAAAAACAAAGGCAAGACCTTAGGTTTCCAGACAGCACACCCTACTTTCTTTGTGAAGGTAAAAAAAGGGAGTAAACATGAACAAGGCCAGGATATTTATGGGTGATATATTTTACTGGATCATCTGTAAATTTGGTAGACAAGATTTTGGGGACCATATACCCTTCCTCAGGAAAATAAAAGCAATAGACCACATGCTACTACATTAAACACAACATATGAACACAACATTTCCATTGGCAACAAAATGGATATAAGGAAAGAAGATTAAATTATCAATATAACTGATCAGTTTTACTTTTGAAGATGGGTAACAATTTGGGGAATTAAAGAACCAAGACACCTTTAGTTTCTCATGTTATTTCATTAAATCTTCTAATGCATTTAAGCCATCCCACAAACTGGATTGTAAGAAGAGCATTTTGTAACAAATTATGAAAACACATCGTTAAAAATGTAAATAGCAAGACAGGTTAATAAAGAATACTTGTATAGCTGGGTGAAAATTTTAATTATACTGATAGGAACAATACAATGCCACTACAGTTTTTTTTCTCTTCATTTGGCAAGGTTTCATCATAAACTTATCTAGAGTTTTATATCTCTGTAAAAACACTATTTGCAAGCTAAAATATGACATTCTTATCCCAAAAGAAAGTGCCATTTACGATTCTGAGCTCCTGTAATATGAAAAAAGTTTGTTTAATGACTGAACTTTGAAAACAAAATTCACAAAATGGGTTTGTGCTTTGATTTACTTAAAAGGCAGGGGGAAAGACCTAGTTATTGAACTTATGACAACTAACTATATAATGCCTTTTCTCAAATACTGCAGAATGACTGTCTACTGATTCCAACAACTGATGATTTACTGATTTATTCTGAAGGCACTGTTGTAGCCCATTATGGATCAAATCTTGGCCTGTTGTGTTGACATCTCTTTGTGGCTGACTACTCGTCCCCACCAGCCAAACATGGCTAAGAAAGAGCTCTAAATCTTAACCCTCAGTTCTTCTGTGCCACGCCCACTTTTAGACGATTAGGGACAGCCTTCCCATTACTCAAAGCCTGTACCCTATGCACTTTGACTGGTACCTCTCTCTAGGTCCTTACCACCTGACTAATTCTGAGCCCTTCTACCTATCTAGACAACTACAGCTCTGTTCCAGGCTCTCAACATATCCCATCTTTAATACCGTAACACTTTTTTCTTTGCCTCTGGGAAATAAAAATAACCAATAACAACCATCCAGAATTGCTGCAACAAAGACTGCTTTTCCTAGCCCATCAGTATGGAGAAACTGACTCCTGCTTTCATGTGACCCATGATGTCAGATTACTTTTCCCACTTACGTTTACAAACTAGCATCTTTGTGTTTTCCCCCATCCTGTTCTAAATATTCAAGAGGCTCTCATTATCCTCCTTATCCCTCCCTAGGACTCCTTTTGATGCCTGCCTGTTAGGCAGCAGTCTGAGCATACTAGTGCCTGATCTTGCAAATACATCTCCATGCTTCCTTGCGAACCCCAATTCATATCCATCAGTCTTATATTTCTCAGCTTCTATTTAGATTGTAAGCTCTCGAGGGACAAAGAAAGTCTTCTTGTTCTGTTTCTACAATACCTATCATAAGGGTGGGCAAAAAAATATGGCCCACGGGCCAGATTTGGCCTTCCAACTGATTGGATCTGGCCTGTGGGGGAGTGCCTGCCAATTGACTTGGATCCAGCCCATGGCTGCCCCTGCAGCACTCTGTATGGGGCCAAGCCCCAGCTGTTCCTGCCCAGAAATGAGTGGCCAAATAGGCAGAATGCAGCCAAGAGCTGGAGACAGCCCCATGTGCTTGGGCAGAAGCCACTTAGCTGAAGCTTCTTCCCTGCCTGGAGTAGCACAGCAGGAGCAGGAGGAGGAGCTGTTGCTGGAGGTAAGGGGAGCTGAGCAGCACCCAGGAGGTTGCAGCCACATCAGGTGCAGCCCTGCCGGTAAGTTGTGCATGCTGGCTGGAGCCAGGCACAGACTGGAGCATGGTGTGGGCTACCTTGGGTATGAGCAGGCAGGGCTTGGCCCCATGAGGAACACCACAGGGGCAGCCATGAATCGCACTGCCTGGGTGAGCTCTGCTGCATGTGCCCTCTACCGCTCCCCTCACCCCTGGGCCAGTTCCCAGGACCTAGCACCCAGGCAACTCCCACACATACCCTTGTACACATGCTCCACCACCCCATAGTGCAGGGGCATGCAGGGAGCAGATCATGGCTGTGCCCCAGGCTCTGACCCCATGTTGTCACACCCTGCAAACCTGCCTTGTGATCCTGGCCTCGCTGGCCTGTCCTGCTCTCAAACACTGCTACCCGCCTGCCCTTGGCAACTCATCAAAACTTCCTATTATAGTCCTGGACCCAAATAATTGCTCACCCCTGACCTAACACAACAGGATCCTTCCTCCTTGACTGCAGCTCCTAGGCACTATGGCAATACAAATAAATAAATGCATGTCATTATATAATGTATGGATAGACATACGATTCCATTTCATTACCACACCAACCAAAATTGACCCCTGGCTGTTCAATATCAATATAAGTATATAAAAAACAAACAAGGAATGCAGTGACATTGCTAAACACTGGCATTACAAAAGAAAATAATTGCAACTTCTTAGGTGTTGATGGGAGGAATTCTCCACTCCAACCATGCAAACTATTACCTTCTCCAGTGCTGAAAGCCACTCCTCGTTCATCATACTGCTTGGGTTTATTCATGAATCTCTGTAACTGTATAACATAGCCTCTGCGAAACTTCGCCACATACTCTTCTTCAATGCCACTACATGGCAATGCCACTAATCTTTCTAGTAGCCGAATACACAGTGAATACTGCAGACAATAAAAATTCATTAAGAGATGCAAGTGTAATTGCATTTGCTAAAACCTTCTATTTTTATACACTTGATCCTTCCTACTTTGCTTTTATTGATGATTTTTGACAAGATGACATTTTTGCATCTACATGCTGCTTTAAAAACAGCATGCAGATGCATCATTTTCTGTGTGACTAAAGATATCAAATCCTTTCTTCAGGCAACAATGATTCTTTAACCAACCTCTTTGTAACACAGAATTAATGTATTAGAATGTTCATCTTAGTTTTAGAAGAAAACATTTAGGGGCAAATATTTAGGGGCCCTTAAATCCAGATACAATTAATTTACTAGAATGGGAAGGAAAGCATTCCACCTTGTTCCAAATAAGTCAATATGTATATTGAAATGGAAATAATTTTATTTTCCTAAACTGCACCTCTTAAATTATTACATTTCATAATACATACAGGAAATATATATATCTTTGGCTGTTCAAGCTGAGTTACTTTAATGTTTATGATTTCCTTTAAAACCGAACAATCAAGCTATTTAAAAATTCAAGAGATACTTGACTTAAAGGGCAACCTCTTGAAATAAATTATCCTTTGCTACTGTGTGCTTTTTTTCCTAGTTCTTGAACATGTGATTAGAAAGTAAACACCTCAGCATTAACCCCTTTGTGCTGAAAGCTGTGATGTCCTGCTACAAAGTACTATTTGAAGGAGTTCTGGACTGCTGGTAAAAGAACAGAAAGGAACAGTTGTGTATAATGGATACTTCCTCCTTTCTCACCCTGCAATACCTTATTTTATTTCCTTATGAAGTTTTTATTAAAGTGCTTTTCAGAATTTTTTACTCACTTCACATTTCTTGCATAAGAATATATATTTTTCTGCTATATATTCCTATGCAGTGGCCTGCTTCTGTACAAGAGAATTAGCAGTAGCCCTACATATTTTGATATCACTCAAACTTGGCATCGCAGTTCTCTCTCAGCCTAATATTTCTGTGGTAAAGCTTTTTGGAAGAGAAACTAAATCAACGTGACATACATGACCAACTTCCTTTTAAGGGGGGAGGACAAAAAAACTCTTCAAAACGGAGAAGGCTGTAAATAAGGAAAGTTCCAAGATGTGCTTCAGAAGGAAATGCTTCAATGCCTCCAGTTTGAAAGCTTCGGCCATTTCTAAGGCAATTCACCAGCAATGAGTCTGTACACTTGCTGCTCAGAATGTCTCAAATGTTACATTTGTCCAAGACCTTTTATAATGCAACTGTGGAAACAAGCTGTAATACTGAATCATGGTCTCGTTTTTGGAAAAGAGAGCTATAATATAGTCCTAGAGGTGGAACTCTTCAAAACCGGGTTGTAGATGATTTGTAGAATACTGCTGATCGTGGCCTGCTCTGCCTAACATATGGGAATTATATTGCAAAACTTCTACCACCTGATCATTTTTGTTCAGCTTTACCTGTAACCATGGGAGCCCTGAAGATGAACCATTCAATGGCACTGGGATTTTAAGCGCTGTGTTGATTAGACCTGATCCATACAGAGTTAGATAGCATAGAAATGACTTCTGCATTAGGGCTTTCCTCTTCACTACAGGACTGCCATAGCTAGGATGGCAGTACTACGGTAGCAGTGCTCCCTGGTATAGAGACAGCTTTGCCATCAGTTACACAAGCTCCCCCAAATGACAGCAATGCCAAAGAAGGTTTCTGACAGCCCAGCTGTGCCCACACTGTTTTGCTGGCATAGCTATATGGACTAAAAGCCAGGTATCTTCACACTCCCCTGCCAACACAGCTATGGAAAGAGAACTCTGCATTTTAGGCAAGCCTAGGTGTCTTCATCTTGCTACTGAACCACATTAATGATTACAAGAAACTTTTGTCATACTTGCTGTGTGTTTAAAAGGCTAGATGAGACCACTTGGACCACTGTTAAGAACAGAGGTAAGATATAGTGATGGATGCTTCCTTTGTTGTGTATACCTGAATTGAGGGGAATGGAGGAATAGGGGCCTTGAGAGAGGAAGAAAAGAAAAAAAAAAAAAAAAAAAAAAAAAAAAAAAAAAAAAACAGAAAAGAAAAATCATTTTAGAAGCACCTCTAAGGAGTTTTTTTCTAGGATCCTAAATAGAGTCAGAGTCTGTATTCTTAAGATACAGGTCCCTTTAAATTAAAAAGATTAATTACTCACATCTTGATCTGACAGTTTGTCTAATAACATTTCTTCCAATTCCTCCTTAATCAGCCATCTGCTGCCAATCAGTTTTCTGTTTAAAATATCACATATATTCTCTTTTTAATTAACCATGCAATTAGAATTATATCACAAAGGACCACACATACCGTCAGGCTTGGTTCTAAAATATATTTTCCACTACCAAACAAAATACACTATATTCACATAGTAAATATCACAAGGTTTAAGTCAGTTTTAAAGAAGATCTTTGTTCTGAATAGAACAGTAACTCCACCTCTTGAATTCACTCTATCAAAAGTTAATTATCAATTTTACTAAAGTGTCACTCATTACTATAATGATTCTTAACTTTCTAAGAGTCAGGGTACTCCTCCCCAGCCTTTTGAGTTTGGCAGCACTCCCAGTTGAGAACCACCATTATGCAGCCTCAGTTTACGTCAGTGATTCTCAACTAGGTACTGCTGCCATGTAAAAGTGCTCCACACGTGTTGCACTGCCAGGCAGGGCAGGCTCCAGCACATACATGATCTCCTGCCTTGTTAGGGTTCTCTGATAAGACTATAGTAGGCTGGAGAGCTTCACAGTCAAACCCTGCCTGACACCTCCCAGGAACAGAAGTGTGGGGGGCAGCTGGAACTTGCCCTACGTATGTCTGGGAGGGAGCACGGGGGAACTGAACCAGGAAACCAGCACAGGTTGTGAACAAGGCACAAGCTGGCTCTCCTGACTGCTGTAGCCCTTCCCTGTCTGGCTGTGCACCAGATGTGCAGGGCACTTTTACCTGGCCATGGCAGCAGTAGCACCAGCTCTGTACACCCCAGTTGAAAATCACTGCATTATTGTTATTAAAGATCACTCAGCAGTTCCAAGATGAGCTAATTTTCCACAGGTGTATAACCCAGTCATGAAAACTTCCTGTTGGCTGAAAATCAGCACATAGGATTTTAGCAAATCAAAACATAATTGAAAGGGAAAAAATGTATTTAAACAGTTCAAACACAAATACAGATTTGTTTTCACTGGATTTTTCCCTGTCTATGCCTGCTTTCACTCATGCAACTCTACCCATGGTAGTTATGATTGGACAGGGAACACAGGAGTAGAGGTAGCTGTTGGCACTTTACACCTGCTCTGAGCAAAGTTAGACAATGTGCTGGGGCCGGACTCAACCAGATCTCTCATGGTTGCTGCCAGTGGAGGAGATGCACCAGTGGCAGCAGGGAACATTTTAAAGAAAACAGTCCAGTGTGGAAATGACCTCAGGGCCTAAATTTCCAGTATAAGGAAATTCAAAAGTGCTGTCCCAAAGAAATGCTACTGCGTCAGAATAAAAATATTGACTGATGAAACTGTATATTACATACATAGCAATAAGATTACAAGTGAGCTAAGGAGACAGCTCTATTCTTTTACTTATATAGGTTTGTTAGAAACAATTAAGGTTAATGAATATTTTTAGTGGCATAATTAAGGCCACAAATCAGAGAAGCATCCCTATACTTAAGACTACTTAAGCAAGTACCTTAAGTACTGTGGTTAAAGTGCTTTCATGAATTAGGGACTAAATGACCTCTTCCTTGCAAGAATGCCATTTTCATGGGAAGCTAAGGGCATGACCTTTTTCTTGACAGATGCATATCTATTTAAATTTACAACGGAGTCACTGGGATTTTTCATTTGTGAAAATCTTTGTATTTACTTAAATCATTGCAGGTTCAGAGCCTAACCCTGCAGTAACATTTGCCTAAATATTTGAATAAAAGTTCCTATTTTTTATGCACTCATAGGATTTTTTCCTATAAATTTTTTTCACAGTTCAACTATCCATGCTTATGCCAGTGGGACAGGTATATGTGCTTTTGGAACATGTGAGAATAATTTCTTCAACCTTTTTGGAATTTTAAGTGCGTGAAAAAGATGCAGTATCTTCAATTCTGACCACCAGTTATTTGTTTTCACGAGTAAATCAATTGGCTGAGCTTGGGAAGGAGTCATGTCATATAAGATTATTTTTCAGCAGCATCCACTATGAACTCCAGCTCAATTCTCCCCTTGTCTGTTCAAACTAAAGGGTATCTCCTAGAAAACTATGATGAATAACTCCACACTCCGTAGGGAACTAACTTGAATCATAAAGGAGCATGAACATCAATCAACTAGGAGAAAACAAAAGAAAAACTGGGCACCACTGCTTAAGACAATATCTTGCTTTAGTATATGTCCCCACTACTAAGCAAGAAACAAGGCAACAGGCACTGGATAAAAAATAACACCCCCCCACAAAGTATAGGAAGCTACGCAAGCCTTCATTGAAACTACCCCACCCTCCAAAAGCTAATGGCTGTAATAGAAAAACAGCAGATCTTATCATTGGGAACCAGGAGTGCAAAATGATGAAGTTCAGCAGGATCCAAAGAAAAGAGCTGGACCTCTGAAAAAGAAGACTTTTAACTGGAAGGACAGTGGACAGTGAGGAATTTGAGACAAAATATCGCCTTGAATCAATGTAAATGTCCCAACCCTTTGACTTTCTTTAACTACCCACTCTCTTCAGAAATTTCTATCTATAAGCCTGGACAAATGGCACATTTACACTGGAGTAACCAACATTACAGCAGAGTAAAAAAATTTAAAAAGCAGCAGCAGCAGACAGACAACACAAGCCACTAAACTGGGCTAAATCTGCTCATTGTGGTTCAAAATTAACTTAAAGAATTAGGAGTAAAATTCCACTGGTGTACATTACACTGCTTTAGATATCCTTAGTTCACTTTCCTCCCAGGTGCCTAGTTTGCTAAAAGGCAAACTGGCTATTATCTGCTTCCCTGCCACCTAGTCGTATGTAGAATAGCATCCTATTGCTGTTCTGTCCTTCGCTCTCTGCCCTTGATTCTAGTGTAATGTACATGAGTACACAAAGATGGGAATTTCATTGGGTTAATGAGCATCCTATGATAAAATTCCTAAAAAGAACTCTCAAAGCAACCAGTCTGCTATATCCTAACTCCTTCATTCCCCAAAGGAAGGAACTGTGCCCAGTCCTTATAATATTGATTTGTTTAAAAGGCTAACAAAATCCTGGCTGCAACCATTGAAGGGGCTCTTTAAGACGCATCACAACTGTTGTCTTCCAGGAATTCTCTTTTGACCTTCAACAGAAATGAGAGATCAATACTGCAGTTAGTAAAACCTTCAAGGAAAAAGGCATCCACTAGAGAGCCCTGTATGCTGGAGTCTGTGAAAAGGAAGCTAATGTATTCACATCACAAGACTTAAGTTTCACTAACACTGCATCCTCTTCCAATCTCACTAATATTTAAATACTTAATAAAGGTAAGAAGTTGAAAAAGAAGAAGAGCAGGGCATTTGTCTTTCTGAAGGAAGAAAAAGAAGGGTAATAAGGATTAAAACTATTTAAATAAGATGGCAGTCAGGAGGTGTGTGAAGGAACTATACAAATGGAATGGAAATAAGGAACCTTTAGATCTTACCAACACACTTACAGGGTGTGGGATGACCTTCTCAGCAGTAGAAAGGGATCTTGGAGTCATAGTTGACTCCAAGATGAACATGAGTCGTCAATGTGATGAAGTGATCAACAAGGCTAACTGCACTTTATCATGCATTAGTAGATGAATAACAAACAGGTCCAGGGAGGTGATGCTTCCCCTCTATGTGACACTGGGCAGGCCGTAGTTGCAGTACTGCATCCAGGTTTGAGCGCCGCACTTCAAGAGGGATGCAGAGAATCTTGAGAGGGTTCAGAGGAGGGACACTCATATGGTTAGAAGCCTGCACACAAGGCCCTACATGGAGAGACTGAGGTACCTAGATCTCTTCAGCCTTCACAAGAAGAGGCTGAGAGGTGATCTTGTGGCTGCCTATAAATTCATCAGGGGAAGGCAGCAGGAAATAGGAGATGCTCTATTTACTAAGGCACCCCTTGGAGCAACTAGGAACAATGGCCACAAATTGACAGAGAGCAGATTTAGGTTGGACATTAGAAAGAACTTCTTCACAGTAAGGGTTGCCAGAATCTGGAGTGGGCTTCCAAGAGAGGTGGTACTCTCCCCTACTCCAGAGGTCTTCAAGAGGAGACTGGACAAGCAGCTAGCTGGGGTCAGCTGACCTCAGCACTCTTTTCTGCTTAGGGCAGGGGGGTCAGACTCAATGAGGTCCCTTCCGACCCTAACATCTTTGAATCTCTGATAATTGTTACTTAGCCATAAATAGGAAATTTATCAGAAATTACAGGCAGATTAACTATTTACTCTAAGGTAAAAAGGGATGTGGAATTGTCCCACTTCAGCTGCTTCATGAGAACTACTTATATGGATAGTCTCACCCTGTGGTAAACGAAAACTAAGCTGAAGTAGCTGCTCTCTTTTACTTTAATTGATTTCTTTTTCTTTTATTTTTGTACCTGCGCTATATGGAAGTTTATCTCTTGCTCTTTTTATAGTGTTTGCTGTCTTTTTCCTTTAGTCTCTGTTGTCCTCTCTGGTGAAGCCTAATGCTTCTCTGGTCTTCAGCACATGCCTCTTCAGTTCTGTGATGCTCCACTCTTTTCCTTATGTTGGCAAGGCCTCTTTTTTGTATTTTTTCTCTACATTTTGTATTTTGTTATTTTAAATACATACCTGTAGTGAAAATGTACTGTGCCATGCAGTGGTACATTCAAGCACACTGCACTGCAAGTGCACTGGACATTGCAAGTGGCACCACCTCATGAGATGGAAGCTCTACTGGATACTGTACTAACTAGCTTATGGGTAGTGCTATGTGGCTATACTGATTCCAGCTTGTACAGTACTGCGTGCCTAGAATAGTCTGGCCTTTTTTAGTACAGGTTGAATAAATCTGTGGGGTGAGCAGGCTCTTATTCTTGATCATTGCTCTGGCTTCTTCCTGTTCTCCAGATTTCAGATAGAACCCATTTGGCAAAAGAGCCATGCTAGCTATAAGACACATTAAATACCTTCACTGTCTCAGGGAGTTCCATTAGGGATCTCAGGGAGATCCAGGAACAGATCCTCCAACCTGACTACTTCCCTATTAAGGTGACCATGT